TGAGTTTTTCTGCATATGCCTTCCATGTCTGCTTTCCTAAGGCTGTACTCTAAAATTCTTTGTTCCTCTGACCTGCAAATCAAATCTGTGAAAGAAGTGCCCAGTCCTTCAGAATTTGTGTAATTTTGGCTGCATTGATAAAACTAATTTTTTTTCTAAAATGTAGAGATCTGTAAGTACTTGGCAGTTCCAGGTTAATGATTGAACTTGATGACCTTAGAGGTCTTTTCCAAGCTAAAGGATTCTATGATTAAGTAACTGCTAATTGGGATCCTTTGGATGCAATTTACTTCCGTACAGAAGATTCAAATCAGGGATTAAAGGAAGATATTCTAGTAGTAAAATGAATCTAAATTTGTTCTCCATGTGTGGCAAAACATGCTGTAGCTGTACTGGCCAAGAAATGCTCATATCATATATTTAGTCTTAGAAGAGTTGGCTAAAAAATAAGAGGAGCAGTTTTCTGCTGTCACCATTATAATTGAACATTGTTCCAAAGTTAGAGCTGTAAAGTGGGCAGAGGGTCAGATTGCAACATGTACTGTTAATTTCTCCTTGTTCTTTATGACCATTACCTAAAATCTATAGAGTAAGGCTATTTAGAAAGCGGAAGGCAAGACAAGACCAAAATGAGATGGAAGACAAACCAGGCTTGAAGCCTTGCAGAAAGCAGAACCCAGTAGTGGTGGCAGTGGTGGACCTAATGATTTGGAGTGTTTCCCATGGGAAACTTAGAGACCTAATTTGGTATTCTAGTGCAGAGATACAGAGGTTGGCCTGACGTAACATAAATCTATGTACTGTACATGAATAACATTTTATTTTAAGAATCATTTTGTATTGGCTGACCAATAAGCATGCAGAAGATTTTTATGTTCTTTTTTATTATAGGGAGGTTTAAAGAACTTAATATACAAGAGTAGTCAAAACAGTTGCATCTTTGTTCTGAGGCTCTTGGGTTCTTATACCACTGCCAGTTAAGTTACAAGAAGTTTTTTTCTGAATTTAGTGGGTAGTATCACAGGTTTTGTAGGAGCAGGGGGGGGTTAGGCTCTGAACTTGGGAGTGAATAACACTCTGCTGATCACTACTGGAGTCAAGCAATAGGCTGGGGAAGTTGGTAAGCTTTGGTGAAAGTAGTGGAGTTAGGTTTGTGTGCACATGTGTGTTGTGTGAGGTCTACAGCTGGGAGAAGACTGGCAAGCCCAGTCTGATGCCTCATTTAACGGGTATGAGACTAAAGTTTTATCTGGTAGCCAAGGGAAAACATGATCTGTCATTTTGGATGCATTTTTAAAATGAAATTATTGGCATAAAATTGGATCTTCCTTTGTTTAAAGGAGGAAGTTTTAATGCATATAGCTGCAGGGCACTGGTCTTTAGATTAATCAATTTTAGTTAACATTGTTCAACAATGCATTTTTAGTGTAGCTCTGATCGAGAAAGGATTTATATGAGGGGAAAGAAAAGAAAGATTTATTTTAAAAACACAAGATATTTACTCTTCATAGCTGAGTCACTGAATTTATAGTATGAGAAGTTGTCTCAAAGGCACATGTCTTCATTTTATTTTTTTTGTGCTGCACCAGAAATAATTCTGAGTGGCAAAAGTTTACAAAGCTGTGAAGTATATATAAGTAAGCACCGTGGGGCTATTCTGTAGCTCTGTTGCTATCTGGAAGAAATATCTGGAATAAAAAACAAATTTCTCACATTATTCTCTATGAGAAGTTTTGCTGCATCATTAAGTGCTTCTTTGTGCTAATAGTTTTACAGTACTCAACACCTCATGGTGTCTGTGCTCTAATTCCTCTCTGTGGCTGTACACAGAGCTCTGTCAGAGAGCTTTCTTTGCAAAGCCTTGTGATTCTTGCTTGAAAATCACCCTTTGTTTTGAATATTTATTCAAGCAATATCCATGCTTTCAACACCACATCAGTTCCCAGCGTTTATCTGCCATCTGATGCAATAATCCTTTGTCTGGGATATAAAAATGAGTAGCTGTATATATTAATGTGCCACAGCCAAACAATTATAATTTTGGCTGGGCAACTAGTAGAACATCTGAGAGTGCTTTTGATGTGAGGAAAACTCCTACATATAAATAGATTTACTAACTCCTAGTTTTGGAGTGTTGCAGAAACAAAGATTACTGACTTATCAGATGTGTTGCAGCTGAATCATCAGAAGTCCAGAGCTACTCTGCTAACACCATTGTGCAGTCATTGCATTACTGAGTGAAACAAGGCACAAATTTTAAAGATGCAGATGTGAATGTATGATTTAGATTGATTTTTGTAGATATAAGGTATGAAAAATACAGGCTGAGGAAGAAGCCTTCCACGACAGTGAAGGTAAATATCTAGTCTGGAATCAGAAGTAGAAAAGATGTTGTAGTTTGCAGTTCTGCAATGATGGGTGAGTAGGTTGTGACTGGAGCAGTCCAGGGCACCTGTTGAGAGTTCTGTAAATCATTGATACAGCTTGGATTCTACATTTGCCTATCACTGAAATGGATTCTGTATCACTGTGCGCTTTTCAAAAGGGTTCTTAACTTTTCCTTTATGTTTGTAACTTCAAGAAAAGAAAAGATTTCTGTTACGAAAAATGCAGCACAATAGCAAGCTCCTTAGGAAGTTCTCCATTGCTCTACCCAGTATTCCCATTAGGAATGACTGAATTATGCAGGTTGGGAAAAGGTCTTTTCCCCACTTGTTTTTGTGAGCAATGCTTAGTCATCCCTAACAGCATTAATCTACAGACACAAAGTACATTAATGCACTGGTATACAGACATGAAAAGTACAAGACTCTGGAGTGTCCTGAGTAAATTAAAAAAAGGAATCAGGCAATGAATGAAAACTGCACTATTCTTTGTCAGTAAAGCAAAGGAAGTTCCACCTGTTTAAATACATTTGGATATTTTGTTGGATACTATGCATATCTTACCCTCCTGCCATAGCAGTTTTCCCCCCCTGCACTAGCAGTGCTAACACGCTTATTTTTTTTTTTCACTGTTCTAGTATTAACTGTAACAGCAGCTCTGCCTGACCCACAGGCACCAGGAGCTCACAGCTCTGAAGTGATTGTGTTGAGATTCACTGGCACCCAAGCTGTGCTGGGTCAGAGCCCACAGCAGCAGGTCGCCTTTCAGCCTGCCAGGCACTGCTACCAACATACAGCTTGCTGGAGTGGCTGTCTTCCTCACTGATGGCTTGGGATGAGATGAGAGATAAATGAAAGATAAAATAATACTGTGACAAGCTATGAATTCTCCACTCTTTTGTCATAATCAGTCAGTCATTAAACCTCCTGGTAAAGACCAGGACTTTTGCAGTAACCTCCCAAAGGGAAAACTGACTCCCTTCCAGAAAACTTAATTGTTTGTCATATTGGTCGTACCCTGTCACCAAAATGGTTTTAATGGACTAGTTTGCATCTGTGTTTGCTGAATAGCACCAGTAGCAGTGCTAGTACTGGCTTCTGCTAGCTAAGGATGTGATCTATTGCATTCATGCTTGCTTTTTATTTCCAAAGTTCCTCCAATAATTCAGAATCAAAGAGGAGACACTAACCTGCTCTATCAGGAGATCATGACCTACTAGATACATATCCAGTGCTACTGCTGGTAACACATGGGGAAAATAAATTTCTATCCACTTAAGTATGTACTTTAGCAATAGTTGGAAGCTTCTTCTATGTTGTAAACTTTCTTTAAGAGACAGCACAGGACTTAAACTTTAGTAGCCAAAGAGAACTTTGCTCTCAATGTTTCTTCTGTTTGGAATTTGTAACTAGCTCAGCATTAGCTTTGTGTAGATCATGAATTATGAAGACTTTTCAGCTTTGGACACACTGAGCTAGAGGCAACAGTTACTCTTCAGTAGCTCCAGCAGATGTGCTGTGGTTGAGATTTAGTGAAGATGCAATGTCATTTAGACTAGAAATCATAAATTCAAAACACTTCACCAGGACAAGGCTGTTAAACACGGTTTAATTTTTTACAAGTCTCTAAAAGTATTCACTTACCACTCAATTAGAAATGTTTTGGGAGGGTCAGTAAGTAAACGTGAATACAGAATGTTAATAAGGGCTTTTTCTCCCCTTTTTTTTCTCCACTTTTTTCTGTATTTAATCTGACAGTTTTTCTGTGTCTCAGAAGGGAATTTTGAATAGATATTTTTCAAAGCATAGTAATTCAATATTAACAGGTCTTGAAATGTCCCTCTTTAGAGCTGATGCTGGTATTAAAGACAATGTAAGCAGATTTCATAAGGATTTGAAATGCAGTGCTCTGTTAAGGCTAAGTTGAATACTTTAATGATATTTTGAAGTTTAAGGTTGCTGTCACAAATGCACATGACAATCTCCTGGAATGCCTGAACTGAGACCTACTGAAACCAAAGGGAACAGTTTGGCAGAGAGAAATGGGCTTCAAGGATTTATTTTTGGGATTGGATCAGTGAAATTTGAACTGAGAATCAGAACTCTTTCAGCTTCCTAAAGCTCAGAAGGGTTTTGCACCTCATCATTTGGTTGGGCCCATTTTCACTGAAGACACTTTGTAATGTCTGAAGACGCTATTTTACGGTCTGAACCTGTAGCAGTTCCTGGAACAAGGAAAGTTTCAATGCTGAAACTAATTTTGTTTCTGTCTATGAAGTTCTTGTTAAAGCTTCCTATATTAGCTAATTCAATCTAAACAAAACCCATGAGAGATGATTTTATATGTAAACTCTGACAGCATTATCCCTTGATTTGACATCACTGAGGAGGGCTCAGATGGGGCAGGCTGCACACTTCGCAAGGCTGCAGCATGAGCCTTCAAAAAAGCCAACATTAAAGTAAATTACTTTCACTTCCCACCCTTTTATCTGTTCACCGCAGTTCTCAAAAATGGTTATGTACTTCTCATTCATCTGATTATTTTCTGTGGGATTTTTATAGTAAACAACTATGCTCTTCCTCTCCCTCCCCACAATCCCTTGATTACCAACTTACCTAGAGGCAGAACAATGAAGAAAGGTAGCCAGCACAAGATAAACATGCCGACCACAATTCCCAGTGTCTTGGCTGCCTTCTTTTCTCTAGAGAATTTTAAAAGTTTGAGAGCTAAGGAGTTTCTGGAATTGTGACCCTTGGATTTGTTGCTGCTTAAGGTGTCCTCATGAATGTTCCTGTAATGGATCCGTAACGTCAGCTCCTTGGAGTTGGACATTTCTTTCATAACCCCAGCTTCCAGATTTTTTGTAGTCCTTTTAGCCACTATGTAGACCCGACAGTACATGATGAGGATGACGATTAAAGGAATGTAAAATGACCCCAAGGAAGAAAACAAAGCGTAGAATGGTTCTTCAGTGATGCGGCACACTTTCTCATCCTTGGGTGCTGGTTCTTTCCAGCCCAAAAGAGGTCCAATCGAAATTACCATGGAAAGGACCCAGACACCTAGGAGAGCTAGAATTGCTCTTCTTCTTGTTACCAAAGTTGGATACTGGAGAGAATAACGTACTCCTATATATCTATCTATGGAAATTGCACATAGACTTAAAATAGAAGCTGTACAGCAGAGCACATCAACTGCTGCCCAGATATCACAAAATATCCTCCCCAAAACCCAGTAGCCAAGGATTTCCAGTGTAGCAGAGAATGGAAGGACAGTAAAACTCAGCAACAAATCTGCTATTGCAAGGTTAATTATGAAATAGTTTGTAGGGATTCTTAAATGTCTATTGCAAGCAACAGAGAGAATTACCAAAATATTACCTATAATAGCAAAGAGTATAAAGGCACCTAGGATGAGCCCCACAGTTATCGCCCTACTGATATCCAAGGTAGGCAAATCCAGGTTGCTTGTTGTCTCATTGGAGCTGTTTGCAGAAACATTGCTGCTATTTAATGCAGACACTTTCAAATATCCAAGTATTGATGAATTGGATTTCTCAGCAAGGTAGGTACTCATCTTAAAAATAATTCTCCATAGCAGGTTATGATTGGATCCTGTGCACAACATGCAGATGGTTGAGTTCAGTTGGAAGTTCTCTCTCCACCCAAGAAGTTGCTGCAAAGCCCCCGCCAGGTTTGGATTGAGAACTCATCTCTCCAGCAAGCTGTTAGCTTTCAGCACGTAAGACTTGCACAGCGTGAAGTCCTCCGAAGCCTGTCAGAAATAATAGCCTGTTCAAACTCGCTTAATTTCTCACATCAACTCGTTTAAACAGAAATTAGCAGGCAGAAATCTTGGCCGGATGTCGAAAGCAGCTGTTTTGATCGTGACGGTCCCTGAAATAAAAGACAGGTTTACTGTTTTCCCTCGTGCATTTGTGGTTCAGTTGGAAGGATGCCCCTGTTAGCTGCTCTGACGTGCGTCTCCGAGAGGGGTTTGTCAGCAGTTCGGGGCTCTGCGGGAGCCGCTGCCTGCGCTCAGGGGCTGCGCTGCTGACATCACGGGGCGGCCCCGGCGCAGCGCTAGAGGGCAATGCGGTTCAACTTAAAGCTTCCACATCGGCGTCTGAACGCTAATAGAATGAAACGTATCGGTCTTAATTACAGCATTTGCAAGGTAGAAATTTGGATTGAAAACCTTAAAAAAAAAAAAAAAATACAACCAATTTTATTATTTGAGGAAAATACAGTCAGGAGGATATGGTGAACAGATCAATTTCGGTACAAAATGATGTAGCACCCTTTGCTTTTCACTCACTAAAAAAGCAGTCTTTGAGTTCATTTTGTGATCAAAGCAAATCTCATGATATTTTAGAGAACTAATCATCTTCCACTTTCTAAGGAGAAATAGGTCCCAAAAATCTCTGTTCTATTCCCAGGTTCCATATTTAATGATGGCATAGAAATCATGGAGTAGTTTGTTTCTCAGGGTAAATTTTGCACTAATATAGACAAAGTAGCAGATTATCAAATTTTTAGTAAGATATTTATGTTTATTCTATATTCCTGTATACCAGGCACAGCTGTGGCTTCATCTTTTTCCTGGCTAGATAACTTTGGTAAGAACTAATGCATGGAATCCCAGCCTTGAACAGATCTGAACATCCTTAACCACAGTCAAAGTGAAAGCAGTGAAAAGTATTCAGTCATTTTTCAATGTATTCTTTATGCTAAAGTGTCATCTTTGAAAGGGCTGTGAGATCACTGAGACAGGGCCTGTTGTCCAGCTGTTACAGCTCTGGGAATACCTGCAATAACTTGTTAAGAAAAAAGTCAGTAACGAGCGATTTATATTTTACCTCTGCTAATAGCATTATAATACTGGAAAACGTGTGTAGCTTTTGGTCACTAGATAGGGAAAACTATAGATCTTTATAGCCTGGTACTGTTAACAACAAGAAGTGAAAGATTAGCTGAACATATAACTGCCAAAATACTGTTCTTAACTTTCTGCCATCAGGTTATATTTTACAGCTGTTGTCTGAAGTGCTCTGGGTTACTGTATATTGATTTTCCTATTACAAAATGTACTGTGTTTAAAATAAAAGGTTCATTCTTAATAAGGCATCTATGGCTGAAAGTTGCAGCTGAGTGCTGGCTATAAAGGATAAATCATGTAAACAAAAACCCTGTCTGAATTTTATTTGAAGAATATATGGCAGATGTTTGTATTGCCCTTCTCAACAGCAGTGGCTATAGCAAAGCACTGTCACTTGGGAACCTTTCTTTGAAATATTTACACGAATGACATGATAACATGCCACGGAGTCACTGAAGAGAAGAGAAACAAACACTCAGTCTATGAGCTAACCTCAGCTTTTCTGTCTCTGTAAGACAGTTTTCATTGCTAATGAAAGCAGTTAGCAGCCTTGCTTTTAGACATGCATCATTTGCACTTATCCATTCTCACTGGACTCCACTTGAACTCTCTGTTTCATTTGTGATTTCTGATTTCATTGCTCTGCCTTGTTTGTTTAAACTGTAAATTCCTCAGGCCAAGGGGCTTGCTCCCATTGTGAAGGTGTAATCACAGCTGGCTGAGTACTGCTTTCAGTGCAGAGGGCTGCAGGAGCAGCTGCTTGGGTAGCAGTGTCCCAGTGGGATCAGACAGCCTGCAGTCTGGCTGCATGTTCCTGCTTTTGGTACTTGGGTGAACTTGATTAGAGCTGATTAGATCTACACAGGTGATAATCCTAGCTAGGGGTTAGACACAGGCCAAGTGCATAAGCAGTAAGAAGGAATCTGCATTTCCCCAGGTACAACAATCTTTTGGCATGTAAGAAGGTCCCACCACTGCAAAATGAGTGTCGGTTGGAGAAGAAAAGATTTGGTGCAGTTTTTAAGCTGGTGTCATGGCATGCCTAGCCTATAAGTATAATGGAGCAGCCTGTAACTCCTCTTGGGTTTTGGCTGCAGCACATTAGAATTTTGTAGCCTTGAGGAACCAGATCCTTTAGTAGCATTTCAACAGTCACTTCCAGGGCCTGGCTGGTTTCAGCTTGCTGGCAGGGACCAGAGCACTGTGTCAACAGCACTGTCAGGAAAGGGCAGAAGAGAAGGGAGTAGGGATTCTAACTGACTACATTTCTTTGCTCTGTATTTGCTCACAGCAGTACTGGGGCCAGTCTTACTAATGCTGCTTTCCTTGTCCTTGAAGGTGAAACAGTACATAGAAAAGTCCTTTTCTAGGGGAAAGAAAGTAGAAGATAATGCTATTGCAGCTCTCTTATGACCCTATTGAGGAGTTTGATGTGTTTTCATGTCTCTGTTTACCAATCTGTGAAATAACATAATGGCTGATTAGTCGCGAGGCTCAACTGATTAATGCTTGCAAATTGCTTTGAGGTCTTCAGTTGCAGGTGCTATAATACAACACAGTGTATCAAAAGGCAGAAATGAATGTTAACTATTTACATGCCTTTAGGTAAGTAACAGAATAGATACTGTGAAGAATAAACTTTGCCTGCTGAGGTCAATATGGCACTACAAGTCAGTGCATACCCAAACATCAGAAAATTGTGGATCATAGTCATTGCAGAATTGTTTTTATTCAGATGATTTATAATTTTCAATGAAGAAGTAAATTTAATAGCCTGGAGATCTTGCTCAGTATTATTTTAATAATGATGCACAGCATGACAAGATGCCCTTTGGCTGTTCAATATTCTTCTGCTGGAAGGCTGCTGTAGCAGTTAAGGACTGGATATACAGAATGTATATTTGAGGAAACAAGTTTTAAATTTGAAGAATGTTTCTAGAATGTACTTTATTGTATCACTCAAATGATGCTATTGCCATAGTTCAGTTTTGTGATGAGCCACATTCATTTTATTTTTCTTTTATAAAGTGATGTTAAAAGGATGTATTGGCATTTTGATCTGAGTTCAGAAACACAGCAAAAGCACTTCCAGAACACTTTTGCAACACGGTGAATAATACAGCTTGCTCCTAATTGGACATGGGAGCCACATGAGCCAACAGAGAATTTACATGAGTATACCTACCAAGTGTTTCATATAATTTATCTTAGTTTGATTTATTTGGAAACCTGTGACTGCAGAAAAGCAAGGCTGTATTGCCAGAAATTCATTCTGGATTGAGTAGTATTGTGAATATGTTATCATTTGAAGTAAATGATCTTGCAGTTTAGCGCAAACCAGAAAACCTCCTTCCATGGAAGAGGTATGAAAAACAAGAAGCACTGAGGAGGGCGGTGCATGGAGCATCACACTTCCTTGCCACCACCTATGATATTAGACCTTTCCTGAAAAGCGGAGTGAGGAAGTGGGAGAAAGTTGTTTATTAATTTATTTATAGTTTTGTGTGTGCACATAGACTTGTGTGATGCATCAGATGTGTCTTTTCTGACAGTTTGGCACTAGATTATTTGCTACATAATCTTCTTTGTAGATGGCGTCATTAAAAATATAGTCATAAAAAGATGAACCTCTTGGCTGTTTTTGCTAGAAATTTCCATGTTTCTTACATAGATACACTTATTTGATTACTTGTTTTATTAGTTACAAGTTTTGCAAAAGCTTCTAGTCTTTCTGAACAAATGCTCTTTCTGAAGTCTTTTTTTTTCTTTTCTGTCACGATCCCTGGAGTATATTTAAAATTCTCACTGTGATCCACGGTATTTATTTCTTTGATTTCTAATACAGTTGATTAGCAAATCTTTGTCCTTTATAAACCTTTTTGGCTCAGCCAGAGGATTGAAAATTCCCATTGACACAGAAAATTCGTAGGGTCATACTTCATTGCATTTCATAGTTAAACAGAAGCAAGTTTCATCTGAATGTGTGCACGCACCTGAAACCTCAGGACAGGATAAATTTCTGTGATAAAGAGAGTAAAAAGTGTATTTAAAGTGCTAACTTTTCAGATGTCCTGTAATGATGTTTAAAAATTCTGGTGCTTTGTATTTTCTGAGTTCGAAAAATGTTTCATAGGATTTTTCTTTTTTAAAGTAAAGGTAATTACCTCAATCTCATCAGAAGAAGGTTGCCAACATTTGCAATTTTGAATGACTTTTTTCTGCTGTGATGCACTGCATATCATTTCTATGGAACAAACAAGCAAAACAACAACAAAAAAACAACAAAAGAACATTTTCTAAGTAAAATGTTAATTGAAATATCATTTTGTTGTTGTTGTTGTTGTTGTTGTTGTTAATGGCTCTTAAGTCCTTTTTTAGTTTTTGGTTTTGTGAGCTCATTTCTGATATTAAAGCATTTTTTTTTTTCTCACGCTCCTTTAGCTGTGCATTTCTGCTAAAGCTGTATTGAAGACCACCAAAATTATTGATAACTGATATGGGCCCCATCTCAGAAAAGACTTGATGAGAGTGATGTCAATTGAACCTTTGTGAGCAGAGGGTAAAAGGCTACAGGCTTACAGCCGAACACTGCAATAAACAGACCCACAAAGAGCAGAGAGAGAGGGAAGACCTGTTAATCTCACCGAGCTCCAGGATCCCTTTCTGTTTCTCTGTTTGTCATAATGGAGTATCACCACAGCATCCAGTCAGCACAGATGACTGCAAGCTGTTTTATCTTCCCCAAAACAACAAACAATTGTAGTGAGATGCTACAACTGAGTCTCTTTGGTCTTTTCTTTTGTGATTGATCTGAACTTTACCCTCCTTCAGCCCCATGATTTGATCATGTGGTTCATCACCACTTACTCTTTTAACACCTGCCTTCTCCTCCCTAGAGTTGGGGAGAAAGAAGAGGGCAGAGTGCTGGTGCTCAGAAGATGGCATCTGTCACCTTCCTGCAGCTCCAGTAGCAGATCTGACCTGTACAATCTGCAGCTACAAAAGCAGAACACAACACCGCTCATCCAGTAGCACCACTGAGCAGCTGTAAACAGGCTCCTTCCGACTGCTTGAACAGGTCATTGGGTTGCTGACCTTCAAAAATTCCTCACTGCTTCTCCCTGCTCCATGGTAGTATCTGCATCTTCCCAAGAGAGGACTAAAACAGCTGC